AAGTGCTACACTCAATATGCCAGCAAACTTGGAAAACTCAACAGTGGCCACAGGATTGGAAAAGGTCAGTTTACATTCCAGTTTCAAAAAAGGGCAATGCCAAAGAATGTTCAAACTACCACACCTTGCACTCATTTCACACACTAGCAAAGTGATGCTCAAAATCCTACAAGCTAGGCTCCAGCAGTATGTGGACCGAGAACTATCAGAAGTACAGGCAGAATTTTGAAGAGGCAGAGGAACTGGAGATCAAATTACTAACATACGCTGGATCATGGAGAAAACTAGGGAGTTCCAGAATAACATCTACTTCTGCTTCATTGACTATGCTAAAGCCTTTGATGGTGTGGATCACAACAAATTGTGGCAAGTTCTTAAAGAGATGGGAGTACCAGACCATCTTATTTGTCTCTTGAGAAACCTATATGCGGGTCAAGAAGCAACAGTGAGAACTGGACACAGAACCACGGATTGGTTCAAAATTGAGAAAGTTCGGCAAGGCTGTATACTGTCACCCTGCCTATTTAATTTATATGCAGAGCACATCATGAGAAAGGTGGAGCTTGATGAACCACAAGTCAGAATTAAGATTGCCGGGAGAAATATCAACAACCTCAGATATGCAGATTATACCACACTAATGGCAGAAAATGAAGAGGAACTAAAGAGCCTCTTGATGCGGGTGAAGGAGGAGAGTACAAAAGTTGGCTTGAAACTCAACATTAAGAAAACTAAGATCATGGCATCCGGTCCTATCACATCCTGGCAAATAGATGGGGAAGAAATGGAGGTAGTGACAGATTTTATTTTCCTGGGTTCCAAGATCATTGCAGATGGGGACTGCAGCCAAGAAGTTAAAAGACGCTTGCTCCTGGGGAGGAAAGCGATGGCAAATCTAGACAGCATACTAAAAAGCAGAGTCATCACTCTGCCAAGAAAAGTGTGCATTCTCAATGCTATGGTTTTCCCAGTTGCAATGTATGGCTGTGAAAGCTGGACCATAAGGAAGGCTGAGCACCAAAGGACTGAGGCCTTTGAATTGTGGTGCTGGAGGAGATTCCTGTGAGTCCCTTGGACCACAAGGTGATCAAACCAGTCAGTCCTAGAGGAGATCAACCCTGACTGCTCTTTAGAAGGCCAGATAGTGAAGATGAAACTCAAATACATTGGCCACCTAATGAGAAGGAAGGACTCCCTGGAGAAGAGCCTGATGCTGGGAACAATTGAGGGCAAAAGGAGGAGGGGACGGCAGAGGATGAGGTGGCTGGATGGGGTCACCGAGGCAGTTGGTGGCTTAGGTGGACTCCGGGGGATGGTGGAGGCCAGGAAGGTCTGGAGGAATGTTGTCCATGGGGTCGTGATGGGTCAGACACAACTTTGCGACTAACAACAACAACAAAATGAAGGTGACAGATAATTTCCCTGTGAAAGCCTTTTAACATCTTGAAAATAATTCCAAACTGGAGTCAAAATATGGCTACAGAGTGCTGGAAATGCCAAAAATGCCTGACAGTAGATCAGCCACTCACCAAGGGATCAAACCCTCTGTGGATGTGTGATGGGTCAGGCATGGTGGAGCTCAATAAAGGAACCATTGGTTGACCATGCTAATTCCTGCCCCCTTTTCTCTCATCTGGACTGACCTCCCCCACCCTGTGATAAATGGGGGAGGCAGTTCAAGGATGATGAGCAGAGCTTCTCCTGAGCAGTCCCTCATCCCACAGGCAAGTAGTAACTTTTTTAAAAAATGTATTTTACTAACAGCGAAATTTAGAAAAAAGAAAGGTAAGAATGCGAATAAAAATTACAAAGAAATACCAAGATTTCCAAAACAAATATTACATAGTATGTCAAATATTTTTAATCACTATAGATCAACAATTACTATCCTTTCTACTCAATCATATTTTTTGCAGTTAATTAACATTCATTGCAGATTCCTCTAATCTCAAACAATTCCCTGAAAAATTCTGTTCCCTTCTTTACCCATATTTTCCCATTGTTATAATCCTCTTTAAAAAGATGTGTGTAATGCAATTTCCACTTACCATTTTGTTTGGTTTGTTATCTTTTAACATTCAAATGACTCTAACTTTGAATGTTCGAGCTGATAAAATTGTTCCACAGCTTGAATGGCACTTCTTAGTGCAAAGTGGGAGCAAAGTGAAAAAAAATGCAGTTGCAGCAAAAACAGCATTGCTTGTGAGATTGAGTTAAAAAAAAAAGCCTTGATATCTCGCCTTGACCTGAATCGTTCTTTCTTTAATTGATTTGCCTTGCTTTGACTTGAATCGATTCATCTGGAATTGATTCATCATGTCAGGACCTCGAGGCAGCTCTGGGCAGCACTAGGGCAGGTGCATTCGAAGCTAGCAGGAGTATTTGAAGGGGATTATTGGCAATGTTTTTTTATTGTATTTTTTAAAAATTTCACTGTATTTTTTGATCACACCTTTTAAATAACCTCAAACTTAATTAATTTCAGGTGGCCATATTTGCTGTTTAAGTTTACCGAAATCGGTATTGTTCAGGGTCTGGGAACAGATTAATTCCCTTTCCATTATTTCTAAAGGGGAAAATTGTTTCAGACTTTGAACGATTCAGAGCTCAAACAGCATCTTGAAACAAATTGAGTTTGAAATACGAGGTACCATACTAATTAGTGTACCGTTACTACATAGTCTACTGACTTATTCTTACAGTCTTCAATAATTATTTTTTCTGTTTTCCATTTCAAAACAATTTTAACTCTAACCACAGTTATCGTATATTTAAGTAGCTCAATTCATCTCAAGTCAACTTACCGTAATAACAAAGCATCAGTACAAGGGTTGATTTCTAACAATATTTTCAAAAATGCTATTCCATTTATATAAGTCTTCTTAATATCATAGTGGAGCATTAGTTTAAATGTTAATCTCCAACAGTATTTTTAAAAATTCCGCTTTGTTCACATGTAATTTTTTTCTATAAAGTAAGTCATGCATGGTAGAGTTTCCACTTATCACTAATTATTTGGCTGGTTTTCTATTTACATAACTAATCAGTTTTGCCATCACTGCATAAACTGCTAGTTTCTTTTTCCAGTCCTCAGTAGTTGGGTTTTCTTCTGTTTTCCATTTTGAAGCAATTATGGCTCCGGTCCCAGTTAGCATATATTTGAATACCTCTACCATCTTCTTTGGTGGAGTTTCTAGTACAATGCTCAGTCTCAGTATTCTATTGAAATAGTTGCTCATAGATTCATCCTTGTAAATTATCTTTTTGCTGTGTAATAAGATTTTCAAAGTCCGTCAAGGCTCTTAATGTATCTTTTCCTGTTTGGATTTCTCTCTTCAGTCTTGATATCAGTTGGTAATAAAGAGACCATTTTTATTCTTCCCTTCATCTTTTAGTTCTTGACATGACGAAATTCCTCCAAGTTGGTCAATCGTGTCTCCATGTTATGAAATTGTTACTTTCCCTTAAATAGTTAGCATAATATGTTTCAATTGAAGACATCAGAGGAGAAATTGGAGCACTAATTCTTAAGGAATACCAAATTTTTATTAGACCAACTCTGAGTATATGACTGTGGTGTTAAAGCTCTTCTGATAGTTTCCTTAGTCCATAGGCAATTATGTCTTCCTTCTTCTAAATCTGTTGCTTCCAATTTTACTAGCTTCTCATTAGAATTTATGGTCCAATCTTTCATCCAAGCCAAAATGGCTGCAAAGTAATATAATTTCATATTAGGTACTGCAGGGCCTCCTCTTCCTTTTTCATCTTGCAGTACTTTAAATCTGATCCTCGGCTTTTTCCCTTTCCAAATGAAAGTATTCAATTGTCCTGGCCATTCTTGAAGGATTTCCCCCTGTAGAAATATTGGCAGTATTTGGAATTTAAAAAAAAAAAATAGGTAATTTATCATTTCTAGGATAGACCCCACAGACAAGTCTTGAGCCGCCGACCCAGGAGTGATCCCCCATCATCCTCTTTTCGGGGTGATACTCCGGGGCCTCCACTTCCTTTGCTTCACCCCGCCCAGTGGGCTCTGCTCTGACTGGCTGCGGTTCTGCAGAAGAGCCTTCCCTCGCTCTGCGGGGACTGAGCCGTAAGAACCGGCGAGCTGCCCGAGCGCTGGAGCCGCACGCCTGCTTGTGGGAGGAGACAAACAATGACTGCCTGATCAGCCAAACCCTTCCTTGAAAACCAAGGTATGCCGTGCGAATGCACATTTTAAAATGGGGCAGCAGGAGAAAAACATCCCTTTAAAGGGGGTGGAAATTATGGAACTATTCTGGGCTGCTGTTGCTTTTCCTCCTCCTCCTCCTCCTCCTCCTCCTAGCTCCTGCTTCCCTCCACCCCTCCCACTGATCCCACTAATCTCTGGGCAGAAGTACGGAAATCCAGAGGGGCAATTAATGGTCGTGGACGTTCCATGATCCGTCCACGTGGAGGGGGCCGCTCTGAACTGGCCACTGGCGGGCAGTGCTGCCACATGCCCCGGGAAGCTGCGCAAGGCTATTTGTGCTCCAGTCTCCGGTATTAAAGGTAAACTGTGCGTCCCAGTCCGAGGTGCAGCTCTTGCTTCAGCGTGCACGTGGACACGCCACAAATGCACATGCCAGCACACACAGGGGCTCCGGCAGTGCAGTCTTCTCTCTGGCTTCTCATCCGGAGACAAGCAGGTTTTGCCGTGTGTCAGGCATGGGTCTCTCCTCTCGATTCTGCCTGAGCTTGACGGGAAGCACCTTCTACGAGTTGCCAGATGGAATGGCTCAGGCTTGCAGCAACCCCTCCGCCAGTCTGCCGTGCTCTTGAGTGCAAAACGTTTTCCATATGTGACAGTTCCCTGAACAGGCTCCAGGCACAACGTGGCCGCCTCCCCGGTGCTTGCTGCCTGCAGGAGCCCAGGCATCGCTTATTACACCTGGGAGACGGGAGAGAGAGCCGTGGGCTGGCCCGCGCAAAGGGGGCCTCAGCGGGACTCGCGAGCCGCTCTCTGCCGCCGGAGCGAGATGCGGGCGGGCGATGAGAAGCTCCCCTTGCGAAAAGCACCCAGTTGTTCTCAGCGCCTCCTGTGGGGGATGCCTGAGGCAGAGCTGCTGCCCCGCGAGGAGCTCCCCATTCCCGGCCTGAGAGCCTGGAGCACACGTGGGCCACTGCTGCCGTCCGCTGAGGCCAGGGCTGTGCCTCGGACAGGCGAGCCGGGCGAGGCCCCCTCTGAGCGGCTGCACGGGCCGGATTCTGCTGGAGGCTCGCAAAGGCAGCGTCCAGACAGCATTTTTCTTTGGAAAGAGATGCGGTAAGCCAGGAGGGCTTTCGGACATTGCAGGATTCAACTCACTTTTTCACTGCAGGTTGACCCCGAGTAATCAGACCTCGTTCTCCTGTGTGCAGAACCCAGCCTGCTCTTCCTCTGAGCTTGGTGCCAATGGCTGATGATAGCAACGAGGCCTGAGTTCTGGAAAATTAGGAGGGAGTCCCTTGTACCCCATGGCTTGCCTCACTCCAGCTCTTGGGCGTAAGCAAAGGGAGGAGAGAGAATAAGTCTGGAAATTTTTCCGAAAGGTTAAAACATTCATGGATCACTTGCCAAGGCAGGCATCGCTCTGGCTCCGCTTGTCCTGTGCATCTCTGGCCCCTAAAGTACCTGGGAGCCAAAGGGGCTCAGTGAACACCTCCCTTGCTCAGAGCCTCATGGCAGAGGAGGAAGGTTGCCTGTGGACTCTGTCGACAGGGATAGCCCCAGAAAAGGACCTCTGTCACCTGCTTCTCGGGACCACAACTTGCTCCCCCTCCTCTTGCGCGTCAGGGTCACGGGGAGAGCTGGCTGCGTTCCCTTGCGTGGGCCTCGGATCCTGTTCAGGGCAGGCGGAGAGGGGAGAGGCCAAACCCTCCCAAAAGGGGCCACGTCCCCCCCCGTCCTCTCTTCTCATTCTCCCCAACAGCTGCTGCTCTCTGAATGCTTTTGTCCAGATGTGGGAAAGAATGCCCCCCGTGCCCCCATTCCACCGAGGCCGTCTGGCCCTCTTCTTGTCTCCTACCACCTGCTGCGTTAGGTGGGGGAGATGCTGGCAGTCAAAAACGGGACCTGCGGCCTGCATGGCAGCCTCCGCCCCAGCGCCGTGCTCCTTGCCCTTGTCCTTGCGAGGGTTTCCCTTGTCCTGCAGGGTGGAGAGCGTGGAGGAGTACGACTATGATTACCTCAGTGCCAACAAGACTTGGGTGCTGACTCCCAAAGCCCAGGAGACGGATGCCACCCAGATCCTCAACTCCCTCCTCCAGAACTATGACCAGAAGCTGCGGCCAGACGTTGGTGGTAAGTCCTCAGGACCTGCTGGGGAGCAGAGCCATTCTGGGGGAGCAGTGAGGAGCGCCTGACAGGCCGGGGGTGGCTTTGCTTCCTGGGCTCTGGATGGCCAGCAGCATCAAGCCCTTCCTAGCCCATGGCCTGCAACTCTTCACCTCTTCCCACCCATTTCCCCAGGAGTATTCGTCACATTCCCAAATGTTCCGCAGGATGGTGGGAGGGGGAGCCTTCCTTTCAAATGTATTATTTTTGGCAAACAGCCCCGCCCACCCCCATCCTCATCGCCGCCACCATTATGCAGACGACAGATGAGGGACGCCCCCCCTTCGCGGGATGAGGCTGCAATGCAGCTGTGCACGCTCAGAGAGGGCTCTGCACTCCGGCCCGAACAGACAGCCCTGGCCGGAGCTCCCCGAGGCACTGGCCTGGGAAGGTGCTCTTCCAGAGGCGTGGCGGGAGACCCGTTCAGGACAGCGCCGTTCCCTGCTGCACCCACCCAGAGCCCCCTGCTTGCGTGCTCGGGCCGGGCGAGGCACAGAGCCGGGGCTGGCGGGCCAAGGCTGCTCCTGCCATGCTCCTGCTGGGGCATTTGCCGAGGTGGGTGGAGCAAAATGGTCTTTTTTCCTGCGGCCCCCCAATTATGCAATGGGTTAGCAAGGTCCCTTTCATCTCTGTCCTTTAAGCAGCCCTGGAAGCTTTCATTTCAGTGGGCTTCCCCTTTTTCGTTTGGACCTGTTGGGCACATCAGAAGCTGCCATGGACTCAGGCAGACACCATCCCTGGTCCATCTAGCCCAGCACTGCTGACACTGGCTGGCAGCAGCAGTTGTCCGGGGTTTCAGGCCAGAGTCTGTTTCCCCAGCCCTGCCAAGAGATGCAGCCAGGAACCGGACTGAGGGCTTTCGGCATGCAAAGCAGGCCCTGCTCTGGGGCCACCATTTGTGTGGCACCGCTGCCGCCCTTTGTCCGCACCCTTTAACCGGCCTGCCTCGATTGCACCGGAGCGGTCTTTCCACTATCGCAAGGCTGCATGGGTGCAGTGATGCGCCGTACGGCGGGATGTGGCATTTTGATGAACAGACACAGATGATCCCACCCCCCACGGTTGTCCTCGGCACTGCCCCTTCCTCCCGGCTGAGCCGCCTCTCCTTGGGCTTCTTCTGCAGTCAAGCCCACGTTCATCGACGTGGACATCTACGTCAACAGCATCGGGCCGGTCTCTGTGATCCACATGGTGAGTGTCGAGCCCATTGGGCAGCCACAGAACCCTGCAGGGATGGGGATGGCGCGTCTGTGATGGGAAGTGGCCCTGGGAGCCAGGGCTGCGCTGGCCTGGTGGCACGGGGGAGACAGGCAGCCCCAGGGGTGAGGGGGCCAGCTGCGCCCCGCCTCCCTCTCCCGGCTGCACCGCATGGTCCCAAGGCCTGCCCTCTCTCCAGCGCCCCACAGCCCCGCCTTGCAAGGGGCTGCGTCTGCCTGTGCGGGCCGTGCCCGTCCTGGGGCACACAGACTTGTGCTCCCTGAGGCTTTGCTCCTGCGCCGCAGACTGCAAGGAGGCCCTCGGCCGAGAAGCATCCCGCTCTCCTCCTCCGGACCTGACCAAAACCCTGGGATGGAAGGACGGCTCTGCCTGGGCGCCTGCTGTGGCCGGGCCTGCCCTGCTCCAGATCTCCCAGAAGGTCCCCTGCCAGGCAGAGGCCCCCGCCCCATCGAGGGGCCATGGAGCAGAAGCCCCACGGGTGACGGCTCCGCTGCGCCTCCCGCAGGAATACACCATCGACATCTTCTTTGCTCAGACGTGGTACGACCGGCGCCTGCGCTTCAACAGCACCCTCCAGGCGCTGACCCTCAACTCCAACATGGTGAGCCGCATCTGGATCCCAGACACCTTCTTCAGGAACTCCAAGAGGGCGGACTCCCACTGGATCACCACCCCCAACCAGCTCCTCCGGATCTGGAGTGACGGCAAAGTGCTGTATACCCTCAGGTGGCTCCTGGTGCACAGTGGGGACAGAGCATGCTGGGTGGGGGCGGGGGGCTGGGATTGCACAGCAAGGGCCGAAGTGGGGGGGGCGAGCAGAGTGTGGTCACGTGCCCCCCAAAGGAATCGGAACGGACCGCAGGGTGGCTGCAAGCTCCAGTGCCGCCCGCGGGCTGCGGGGGGCTGGCGGGGCCCCGGGGGCTTCTGTGGCGTGGGGCTGCCGGGACCCCCCTCTCGGCAGCAGAGGATGGCGTTGCCGAGCTGCAGCGCCAGCAAGCACTGCGGGCCTCCTCCCTCGCAGGCTGACCATCGAGGCCGAGTGCCTGCTCCAGCTGCAGGACTTCCCGATGGACACGCACTCCTGCCCCCTCGTCTTCTCCAGCTGTGAGTAGTGCCGCGGGGAGTGGCATGGGGCTGAGCTGTGGGGCAAGAGGAGGCTGGAGGAGTTGGCCTTTGGGGCCCCTGGGGAAGGCTCTGAAAGAGCAGGGCAAGCGCCGGGCGAAGAAGACGGCAGCCGTCTGCTCACCTGCTGCCTCCTTGAGCCCAGCTCCTCCAGCAGATGCCAGCTGTACATTCCCCAGCTTTTGCCCACTGCCGTGAGGTCTGGAAACCTGGGGCTGAGAGGGACTGTATGGGTCCTGGTTTTTCAGGAAAAGAGCTTCCTTAGCTCAAGCCCAGATCTGCTGCCCCAGGCCTTGCATGCCTCCGGGCTTCTTTCCCCACCTTCCTCGCCTGAAGCCTTCCCAGAGGTGTCTGTGGCGATAGGCCTGCCCCACACGGTCCGGCAAATTCACTCACGTGCCCCCCAAGTGCATGGCTGCCGTTGCCCCTGCCCATGTGTGTTTCCCTGTTCAGATGCCGGGCTTACCGGAGCGCCGTCTTGAGAAGCCCGCTTGCAGCTGCTGAACTGCGGGGGCCAGGCTCCTGCTGAGTACTAACCCGTCAGCTCTGGAACCTCCCCGAGTTCACTGCACATGTGCAAGCAGAGCCCGCACGGGTGGGCGCACAGAGGGCCGCTCCAGGGGCAGCGGTCGCAGGTCGGAAACCAGCCTTGCGCGCCAAGGGCCCCTCTCGGCCTCTGCATCTTCCGAGTGCCTCCCGATTACGGGCAGCCCACCTAGCGGCACATGCCGCACATTCGCCTGGATTAGTGCCGCTGCCCGGCCTCGCCTGCCCCGGCTCCCTGAGGAGTGATCCCCTCCCGGGCGCATCAGGGCCAGCCCTCAACAGGGCCTCTGCACGTCCCTCTGCGGATGCAGCCAGAGTGGCAGAGGAAGCCAGGCCAGCTGCTTGCAGGAGCCGTTTTGGGGCCAGGGAGGCCTTCCTGCTCCCCCCTTACCTCAACCCTTTCCCCCCCGCCCCTCACAGCCCCGGGGGAGGGAGAGGCCTTGCTTGGGTGAAAGTGGGGGGCACATCTGCCCATGGGGTGGGGGGCACACCTGACGATTCCTCCCCCCCGGTGCCTTGTGGGGCCAGTCGAGATGCCGAGCGGGTGGCATGTGGGCTTTTGCCGTCTGGCACTTGTTTCCACCTGGACTGCAGTGGCCGATCGTGGCCGGGTCTGTGCACAGGCCCGTGATTCCAGGCCTTTGTGGTCCCCTGAAGCTGGCCAGGGGCAGCAGGGCCCCGCCGTGCCCGAAGAATCCCCCCCCCCCCATCCCCATGCCCGTCTGCTCGGCCAAAGGGGACTGGAGCTGCTGCACTCAGCAGGGCCTTTTCCAGCAGCCGGAAATGCAGGATTCGGCCAGGCCAAAGCCCAAGCAGAGGGTTGTCCAGTTCCCTGGGAAGGAGTAGGCTTCCTTTCAAGGCCCGTCGTTCCAGCTAAATGGCTCCACTTTCTGATGCCGCACATGTGCTTGCCTGCTTCGTTTTACACTCGGTTCAGGGGCTGCCACTCCAGCGGAGGCAGGGGTCGGGGGCCGCAGCCCTAATTCCCTCGCAGGAGGCCCTCGCTCATGCTCCTCCACATCCCACCCTCCGCCTCTCCTCTCCCACCACCAGGGAAGAGCCGCTGCAGGCGAGGCGGAGGCGCTGCCAACCGGGACCAGGGCAGCTCCTGATGGCCCTGGGGGCCCGATTCCACCAGCTGCCCATCCTCAAAGCACAATTGTTAGCCTTTTAGCAGGGGCTTTTCCTTAAGAACAAGCTCCTGCGATACTCGTCATTTTTAAAAGAAATGAACAGTGGCACAGTCCAGTCAATCAAATTGATTCTTGAAAAAAGATTCGATTTGATTTACTGGGAGAAGTGATTGGCACGAGGGGAGTGGCATTAAGGACTGGGGTCTGAACTGTATGAATCAGGAGCAACCTGGTGCTGCTTAAAGCAGAGCCACAGGGGTGCATGCGGTCCAGGAGCCTGCGAAGGGAAGACCGCGAGCCAGTGGCTGCTCCTGGCTTCCTGGGGAGCAGCTTGCCCGTGAGAGCCCTTTGTCCCTGGCCTGCAGGCTGGCCCAGAGGCCCCTTGCCTCCTAGTCCCAGGAGCAACTGGCAGTGTCCTCCAGGCAGCTCACTCCCCACTCAGTGAAGCCTTGTCCCCCTCAGCTTCCGTTGTGCTGCCCACCAGCTGTGCTAGGGGCCCCGTGAACCTTCCAAGCCTGTGGTATGCGCCCTATCCAGGCTTCTCTTGTTCTAAGCTTTATGAAGGGGTTTAAACTTCTTGACTGCTTCTTCCAGCTTTCCTTTTAAAAGAGCTCTCATGTTGGAAAATGTTTCCGTGGTACAGCCAGAACAGCCTGCCTCTGAGATGATGGAGAGCACGAGCAGGAGTCTTACTTCTGCTGGGAAGGGCCTGCAGCCTTTACCTCCCCGAAAATGTCTGTCTCTTTGCAGATGGCTACCCACAAGAGGAAATAATCTACCGCTGGAAGAGATACTCCATTGAAGTCTCTGACCAGCGGACCTGGCGGCTCTACCAGTTTGATTTCACAGGGCTCAGGAACACGTCTGAGGTGCTCCGGACTGGGGCTGGTAAGGAACCGTGGGAAGGGGAGCGGCCAAAGACGTGGCACAGGGCAGCATGGCTCCGACTCTGTCCCAGCGCCCCAGGCACATCGAGACCCGTGCCGTGCCGGGGGCCCAGGGGCACCGTCGCCAGCCTTCAACGTGATGTGACGAGCTCTGAGGCAGGGGAGCCCGTGGCAGTTTGGGGACAGAATTTAAGCCCCGAGGAGCAAGGCAGGATAGCAGTTGCGATTTTAACCTGTTCACTCCGAGAAGGCATGTGGTGGGGGGAGGTAATTTGCACTGAAGCCTCGTACTGATTAATCTGTTCGTGACTGGCAAGCACAAGTGGGGGCCTAGGTACAGAAGCAGGTCTTAACTGTGGCCGAGATAAAGGGCAAACGGCTTCCTTCTCGACCGCTTGTGAACATCTCTAGATTGAGGCAGTTCCTGGAAGCTGGTTGTCTTAATCAAGCATCTCTGCCCGTAGTTTGACTGAGCTGGGGGACCGGCCTCCTTTGCTGGAATCCCTCAGAATGTCACCTGCACTGAGATACGGCAATATCTGGCCAAAAGAAAACAAATTAACACACTGGCCTGCTTTCGGGGACGTGATGGCTCATTAGCACTCTTACTGGCAAAGCGATGGAAGGCCTCCCTCCAATACGTACCCGCGTGCTCACCTGTGGCACACTGTGGGCGAGTCTGGATTACCTGGACAAGTGATGCATGCTGGTGGATGGGAACGGGGGGCCAGGCAGGGCTTTTCGACCCCTCCCTTCAAACCTATACTTCTTGGTTCTCGGGTCACCCAGATCTGGGTTTCTCACTGCCGGTTTAGCTACAGGTGGCACTCAAAGGGATCGGGGAGCAGAGGCAGAAGACGACGCAAGTGCGTGGGCGGTGGCGGGTGTGTGCGGCCAGGGAGCAGCCCCTGCTGAGCCGTGTGGCGAAGGTGACATCGCCCGCTGGGAGCACACGGCCACCCGGCAGGTCCGTGGGCCTCACGCTGGGCTGCCTGTGGCCTCCCCAGGGGACTACATGGTCATGACGGTCTCCTTTGACCTGAGTCGGCGCATGGGCTACTTCGCCATCCAGACGTACATTCCCTGCATCCTGACAGTCGTCCTGTCCTGGGTCTCCTTCTGGATCAAGAGGGACTCCACTCCTGCCAGGACATCTCTGGGTAAGGCAGGGCTGGGGCGCTCCACCCCCACTCCTCAGGCGCCCCACGGCCTGGGGGGCTTGGCGCAGCCGCCACCCCCACCTCAGGCGCCATGAGGGCCCCCAGTGTGGAGGCAAGAGAGCTGCCTCCATCCGGGACTACACCCAGCAGGCCCGGCGGCCCGGGGGCCCCCCCCAGGGGAGAACTGGGGTCCCCCCGCCAGCCCCGGGGGGCCCGTGCGAGGCTCCCGCCGCGCCTCCGCAGCCAGCTCGGCCTCCCTCGCAGGGATCACCACCGTGCTCACCATGACCACGCTGAGCACCATCTCCCGCAAGCACCTGCCCCGCGTCTCCTACATTACGGCCATGGACCTCTTCGTCTCGGCCTGCTTCCTCTTCGTCTTCGCGGCCCTCATGGAGTACGCCGCCCTCAACTATCTCGCGGGGAGCAGGAAGCCCGCGGAGTGCGGCCCCCACAGGCCCAGGCCGGTGAGCGTGAGCCGTCGCGCGCGGGGAGGAAGCGTGTGGCGGCTGCGGGGGGGGGGGGCAAGCAGGAGGGGGCTGCCTCAGTGCCCCGTGCATGAGGAGGGCACCGCCGGTGGCTGAGCTGTGCTGCCCCACTGCCTGGGGCTGGGCGGTGTGGAGGAGCTGGCTGCCCTCGCGCCCCACTGCTCGGCCTTCTGTGGGGCATTGGGCAGGGTGCTGTGGTCAGAGAAGGCTGGCTGGGGGAACCCCCTTTGGGTCAGCAGTTCTCGAGGGGCCTCCAAAAGAAGACTGCCAGAAAGCGGGGATGGGAAAGGGGCTCTCCGTGATGCCAGCGGTTGCCAAGGCCCCCGCAGGGGACAGGTTCCCACTGATGCCACCGCCTCGGCAGCAGCCTGGATTCGGGCCCCTGAGAACCGGACCCCACTCCACAGCCCGGAGGGGCACGGCCCCGTTCGCTGAATGGAGAGGCTGCTCGCTTGGCTGTCCTGGGTCTCTGCCCCCCCCCCCCCCAGAGCTTCAGGGCCCCCGGGAAGGTGGCTGGTGCCCAGCAGGGCCCCTGTGCTGCCAGGGAGCCCCGTGAGCGGGACGGTGGGGCTGCAGCTCAGCTCAGCTCAGCCAGAGCGCGCTGAGGCCCCTCACCCCCATTTCACAAGCCCTCTGTCCCGCTCCAGCCAGCCAGGCACGGCCGGCACCTGCCCTCCTACACGGCCATCCACATCAGCAGCCTGGTGCGGTGGCCGCCAGAGCTGAGTGATGAGGAGGAGGAGGAGGAGGAGCTGCCCACGCCCTGCCTGGAGGGGAAGGAGTGCCGGCGCTTCTTCTGCTGCATTGAGGACTGCCAGACCGGGACGTGGCGGGAGGGGCGGATCCGCATCCACATCTCCCGCCTGGACTCCTATTCCCGCGTCTTCTTTCCCACGGCCTTCCTGCTCTTCAACGTCGTGTACTGGATCGCTTACCTTTACCTCTAGTTTCCTGCAATGAAAGAGCCACGGAAGGAGGACTCGGGCCTGTGGCTGCTTCCTTGCCCAGCTGCCCCTTCTCTGCTGGGAGCACAGCAGATCTGGCTGCTTCTGCGTAGGGAGAAGAGACCCAGGACTGGGGGGCCCTCAAAGGCTGCCCGGTCTGGCCACTGCCGGGGCCAGAAATGGGCTGCTCCAGTGCTTCTGCCAGGCAGCTCTCCGGTCCTGCAGGACAGAGGGTCCCCAGGCCCCAGGCAAGCTGTCCCACTGCCCAGCAGCCCCCGCCCCTGCTGGAGGTTGGCTGCCTGCATGAGAAGGTGTGACACTGACCGGCCAAAGCTTCACTTGGCCACCAATGGCCCTGAAGCAGGGAGCCCCTGGGAGAGTCGGGGCCTGGGATCAAGCGGGAATGCCCAGTTTTCAGCCCTGCAGCTAGCTCCCATTTACTCAGAGCCTCTTCCTATTAATATTTACTTGTGATGTAAATTGCAAATAAATGTTTTAAAGAGAACAAACTTGGGAAGTGAGTGCCACATTAAAGGGCTGTCTCAGGAAGCAACATGGTATGCGGAAAAGATGCTGGCGGGGACAGCTGCGCCCTATTCTTGGAGAACAAATCCGGTCAAGGCAGGAGATGGGCTCAGACACTGTGGAATATGATCCAAATAATGATGTGTCATGTTTAATTCATTCATACATTTCGCCTCGTGTGGGTTCTGGGGAAGTGGGGGGGTGGCCTTGTGCAAGGGCGCACGCGTGGATCCGGAGCTCCAGGTGGGGCAGGCCAGATGCGGCCGCGAGAGGATGGAGCCCCGACCTGAGCTGGAGGGCAGCGGTGGGGCAATGGGGACTGGGAAGGGGGAGTCCGCCAGCGAGCTGCAGGCGACCGGCTGTAACGGTCATCTGCCAGCCGCCATGCGTGCCGCTGCCCCTCGGACAAGCCCTCTGGGGTCTCTGCCATGAGAGTCCTCCTGCCCCACCCGGGCCTTCCCACCATGCTCCCCCCGTCCTGGCAAACAGGACAGCAGTCCCTCTGTGGAGGGCCCTTGTGTGCGGGAGCGCCGGCCTGTGCGCACACACAGCGAGGCCGTGGTGGTGAACGATGCCGAAGGAGCCGTCTGGCGGAGGGTCCGTGGAGCCGTGAGCCAGGTGGGATGGCGCATCCAGCTGCCCCGGTGTCTCTCCTAGTGGGCAACACCCCTCCAGGGACCTGGGCCCAGCGTGGTCTCTCTCCTTCATCCTTTGCCGCTGGACCTTTAACTGGAGGTCCCAGTTAAGGGGACTGAAGAGCCGTGCGAAGCGGATGTTCTGCCCCGGCCTCGCCTGCCTGGCCACTGAGGATTGAGGTCTGCTTGGTGAAGAGCCATTCAAATCTTACGCAGCAGCTTCCGTTGTTCTGGAGAGTAGATGTGTGCATACAGGGAGACGTGGACGGCTGGCCTGAGGCAGCGAGCACCACCAGTGTGACACACGCAGTTCCCTGCCTCGGCTGGGGGGGGCTCGCCCCAGGTCAGGCCTTCTCTGGTCGCCGAGCTGAGCATACAGTTCTGGCCCCAGCTCGCTCTTGCCCACCCCAACGGCTCTATCAGCCCCTGTTGCCGTGCGTTAGCCGCCTGCATGAGCAAATGCCCACGTGGGGGTGGCAGTAGCCATGTGCCCATGGATGGGGGGCTGTCTGGGGGCTGCTTTGTCCTGCACCGGCCACCGAATGCTAGCATTTCCTAAAAGTTAGGCTGTGCCGCCAGCTTTCCAAATTCTAGCTGAGCTTTCTAAATTCTAGCAGGTTAGGCTCAAGCTCACAGCTGTGGAAGCCGTGAAGGAGCAGCTGGCAGTGCAGTCTTGCAAGGAACGCCGCCTGCGCCAGGTCCCGGAGGTTCCCCCCGGGCAGGCTTGCAGTGGGCCACATTTCTTTGACGGGTGGGGAGTCCCCAGGCCGATATGCTGGGGCACCTGAGGAGCTCCCCCGAGAGGCACTGCCGGTTCAGGATGAGCGAGCCCAAGCTGCGCAGGGCGCACTGCAGAGGGGCATTGGATTGGAGGGCCTCCTCACAGGGTCTTTGCATGCCCGGGGTCTTCCCAGAAATGCAGAGCTTAGCTGGAATCCCGAGGCTTGCAGCCCCTGCGGAACAGGGTGGAGGCAGCTGGGCTGAGCAAAGCCCGCTGCCATTCGTGACTCACAGAACTGGCCCGGCTGTGTCTCTTCTGCTGAGGCTCTGGAACGTGGGAACAGGCAGACGCTGCGGCAAACCTGAGAACAAGCCTGGGCTGAGCCCAGGCAAAGCACCCGCTGGACTCTTCTGCCGCAGCCAGCCGGCCTTCTGGATGTCCTTCGTGGACCACACGGCAGACGCAGCAGCCACCCAAAGCGACTCTGCCTTTACAGATTCCTGAACTGCTGCAAGAGAAGAGACTGTCTGAGATGCTGGGCTCTCAAGAAGGAACAGCATATTTCTGAGCTGGAGCTCAGTCCTCCAGTGAGCTACTCAGAATTTAGCCCCACTGAGATCACTGGAGCTTTGCTGACTTTCCAGACTGAAGGCCTAATTCACCGTTATTGCTCACCACCAGCTTTGCCAGCAAATGTTTGCTGATTCAGGGGCCTTCTGGGCCTTTGCTTGACTTTCTTCCTCCTCTGCCTTTGAGGGGAGATGGTGTTTATTTGCTTAGAAAATGCCTTGCCTCCTCCCCCTGCTTTGAAGAAGGAAAAACAAAGGCTGGTGGGTATTTTTTCTGAGCCAGCTTTTCGGGGCTAGATGCTTCTCTCATCAACAGTTTGGATTCTGCTGCTGCTGCTGCTTTAAACATAAACCATCTTTGCTTATTCCCGTGAAGCATCCCAATTTTATTTTCAGACCCCTTCCTCCGGTTTCCTTTAGCACTGGATCCCGGCCCAGTCTTGACCAATGCTGAGTATTGTTCCCCTGGCCTTCTTTTCTTAACTTTTGGGCAAGGTGGCTCTGTGCTGCAGGGCAGTGACTCCACTCTGCAGAGAACCACGTGCAGGACCGAAGAGGCCTTTGGGTTGTTCCTTTGCTGTTGGCTCTGTGTGCGTGCGCGCGCATGTGTGTAAATTGCTCCTCTCATGCTCCATAGATTAAGTTTCTATTGTTTTTACATGTGTTGTTTCTTCCACACTTTCTCCCAGTCAGTCATTAACTGTTATCCCACGGGGTTAATTTCTATTTGTACACAGCTCTCCTAGCACATTCACATGTTTCCCCTTATACTTCACTTATTGCGGAGTTCACGTCTCATCATTTGTCATAAAATAAATCTTCCAGATTCATTTGACTAATTCGATCTGACTCTGGTTTTTCTCAGCTATCACTTCTAGCTCACTGGAGGCTGTGCAACAGACTAAAAAGGAGACAAAAAAGAGCGCATTTTCATGCTTCAGCAACAGACATGAGCAGAGATAAAAAGAAACCCCAAGCTAGAGAAAAGAGGATTAATGCAGCTTTGGGTGCAGAGCTAGAGCTGAAGACACTGGACGAAGCGCTCCACTGGTTTCTGAGCCTGGGCAGCCGCTGTGCGCCTCCACATCCTGGCTTCTGTCCCAGCACGTGCCCAGAGTCGTTGCAGTGTGCCCCTCCCGCTTTGGGGCCCGCTGGCAGGCTTAATGCACCAAAGGCCAGAGCCTTTGAGGTGCCGTAGAGCAGAGCAGAGCCAGGGCCGCCTCACAGCTCAGCCCCTCCTGACGTATTCGTAGGTCTGTTGGTGGCACCGGCTGGGTGGCAGCAGGCAAGAACGTTGCGACGGGCACTGCCATGCTCGCCACGGCTCTTGGAAGGCGGCCTCCGTTCTCCAGGGCTGGGTACTGGCACTCCTACTTGGTTGCCTGTTGGTCAAGGTGTCTGACCTGAGAGACGGCACCTTGATGAGCCAAGGCCCCACCCCTCAAGCTGAGCCGTGCTCAGTGAGGATAGCCCAGCAACTATATTTGGGAGGGGATTCACACGTACCCTTTAGCTGAACTAGGTCTTAGCGGTGCAAGTAAGGCTGGCTTGCCCCTCTGCAACCAGAGCAGCAGGAGCTGCTGCTTCCCATTGGCTCACCTGGTGTTGATTAACAGCACCAGGTGAGTGCAGGGGACTGCAGGCAAGCCACCAAGGTCCAAGATGCCTCCTGCTCGCGTGCTAACCTTCGCACCTGCACCTCATGAGCACAAGGACCTCCGCCCAGCACCATGCTTACAGCAACCCCCCCACCCGCAAACAGCCAACTGCCTCTCCTAAAGACACTGCAGGGTCCAGACCAACTTGAGTTTGGCAGTTGCGTCTAGCCACCTAACTCTGGCCAGCCCTTGGGCAGATGCCCGGCCCCTGGTCCACCAGCCCTGGTTCCGCTGGCCTTGCCTTGGAGGAAGGCTGCCTTTCCCTTGACCTCCTGGTGACCCAGCTGCTCCCAGTTGCCTTTGCTTGTTCCTTTAGCCTCCCACCACGGTTCTCCAGCTTCGGCAAGCATTGGTGATGCGGATGTGGTGATGTGGGGTTTGTAGTCCTTTCTCAGCTCTCGATATGCCACCTTTGATCAAGGGCGACGGCTTTCAGGTCAAGGACCGGCGACTCCAAAGGGAGCTGGAAGGGACACCCTTTTCCATTCTGACCTGCACTCGCAAAAGTGTCCCAGATGTCTTCGAGCAAGTGCTGGAGTCTCATGTCCCAGCAAGGATCGGGCCCCAAGCACTGGGCACAAAGCACGGCTGCCTCTGCTTTCTGCTACGTGATCGGGGGACTGGGCGGCCTCCCAGAGCCTCAACTGCTCTGCAGCCTGCGAAGAGAGCACAAGCCGCTGCACCCATCTCCTCTTCGGGGGCCTGGAGGTGCTGACTCATCTGCCGATCCTGCTTGCCTCTCGCCTCTTCTCTCCCATTTAGTCATGCACAAAAAGTGCTGCCACTGCTGCTGTGGCAGCAAAAACAGCAAGGTGCCTCTGTCCAGCCAAATAGATCCGAGGATCTCAGAGTGCATCAGAAGCACTTTCCAGCCCTGCTGCTCCTGCTGCTGCTG